ATAAAATAACATAAAAAGATATATGTTTAAAATATTAAAAAAAACCTAAAATATTATATAATGTATTTAAAGTATCTAATATTTTATATATCATTATTGAAAGATGTGAAGTCACCTAAATTTTTTCTAAACCATTTTATAAATAAAACATGTCTAAAATTATTTTAAAAAAAATGCCTAAAATATATTATTCATTTCCAGAAGATGATGATAAGTATAAGTTTGAATTTTAGAGTCCACGTGAGTATAATTTTTAAGATCCATGTACTATTCAAATTATTAATTATGTTAATTTCATGTGAACTTCATATTGATTTATTTATTTTATTTTATTTCTATACAAAGTTGGTCGTCTCATTTTATTTTACCATATTTTCGTGGAGATTGAATAAAGTCGATTGCATTTATAAAAATGATTTGCATATCAACATACAATTTATGATGGACTTTTCAAAATTATGTACTATTAACAAATAATATATTATCATTAAATATTTTTTTAAATGCACAATTATTGAGACTGAGAATTTAAAATTATTTTACTTTTTGAAACGGAGTATAGAAAAAACAATAGATTGGGAAACAAAAAATTGATAAACATTATCAAGTTTATTATCACACGTTCCAAATACAAAATAAAAAAATAATAAAAAAAATAAAAAAAAATTGTGATGATTAGTGAAAAATGATATTTAAAGTATAGCATTCAATATTTTTTTGAAAGGCACAAATATAAAAGACGATAGACTAACTTTTTTATTACCTTTTGAATTGAGATTTTATAAATATAAAGACTGAGATTTTAATGTTTTTCGTTGTTTACTTATCGGATGTTATGGGATTTTTTTTGTTAAACCAATTTTATGAGATATAATACAAATATAATTAGAGGATTGAACAAAATCAGAACAAATTTATATACAATTAGATAATAAAAAGGAATTAGATAAGGAAAAGAAAAAATTAGATAATGAATTTTGAATCAACCTTTTTTTTTGTATAACATATATAAAAGCATCTAAAATATTCTATGTTATTCACAAATAATATTTGAAGCTACCTAAATTTTTCTAAATTACCCAAGAAAAATATGTATAAAAATTATTCATTTAACCTCCATATATGTATATATAGAGAGAGCAAATGTGTAAAAAAATTTATACAAATAATATTTAAAAGTATCTAAAATATTAGTAATTAGACAGGTGAAATTTACATTTTTAAAAAATCTATATAGATAATGAATTTATAGTAGTAATTAGACTTTTATTTATTTACCTTTAAAGTTGTTACATATAGAGGGATGTGATTTTTTTGACTCGTGGAGATAGAATTTTATAAGTTGGGTTATGAAATTTTTCTTAAACTCATCCATATCTATGTGATGAGTTTTTTAAGCTGAGTATATAGATTTAAAATTGTAAAAAAAAAAAACTTTCAGAAATCATTTGATTTGGTATTTTCGGAGAGCTTAATTAATTTAAAAGTGTAAATAAATAAATAAATAAATACAACTGAAAAAGTTATAACCAATTGAGAATTAAACTAAATCCAATTTTGTAGGATACATTAAATATTGATTATATTTTATATGTAAAATAAAATAAAAAATAACTGGAATAATTTACGTGTTGCGATATTTTACATTTACAAAAATTTAAAAATATTCTTTTACGTATTGCATATCAACATTTTAGGAAATACATGGATATTCCTAAATTAATATTGCATACCTAATATTTTAGGAACTAATTAAATGCTAATTTAATTTGCATACCAAAAATATTAGATGGATTAATTAAATGCTTGATAAAAATAGCAAATCATTAATTATGGTTGACTATTTTACCTACTACATTTAGTAAATAGTATAGCTTTTAATATAAGTATAGATTTGTCGAGTAATATTTTTTAACCTTTATTTAATTATATAAAACTAATATTTTTTAAAAAAATAATATTATTTATC